TATCATTAAAGTTTCTTTTGACAAAAAAAAACTTAACCATGAGATTAATACGAATATTAAAAAATGTTGTTTTCCTTAACGCGTGGTAAAGCTATCAAACGTATTCATTTAAAAAACAAAAGGTTTCTTAAGTTTATATAAAAATATCACGTTTTTTAAGATTATTACAACTTGAGTTGTAATAATCTTGATAAGGAAATATCATTTTATTGCACTGCCAAATGGTGAAAACTTTTACCAATTTACTTCTAGGAAGAGAGCGAGCAATTTACTCATTCTTATTTTTTTCGTGGATTGAATCATGATATTCTTTTGCATATGGTTAATGCAATAGTAGTCAATTCTAACAAAAACTTTTGAAAAGTAAAATTTTTCTGGTAATATTCAATATTTATGAACTTTCTCAACATAGTTATAATTTAAAAGGTCTAGAGGGGACATAAGCCATCAAATCCTATTAAAGCCCACCGTTATCTATGAAAGTTACATGTAAATTTATATAGAAGTATTATTAAGAAGGGGAAAAGTAAGATACTTTTTATATTTTGTTCAAATTGGGTGAGATAATTTAACAATTATCAAATCGTCTCTTACATCTTATTAAGCATCATATACAATAGTAACATAGTACAACTGTAACACTGTCGTGATTGTTAAATAATATTCAATTTTTATTGATTGTCATAAGAACTTAGATTTTTGAATATGAAGTTTTTAAGTTTATTTCACTACGTAATAGCATTAAAAATGACAAACGGAGGAATCACTTTGGTGTACTTGTCCATTTTTAGAAATGATACAATTACTACAGTTTTAGTGAAAAAGTTGGCAAATATCTTTTATTTGTTTATTTTTCACCTTTTATTATTTATTTATTTACATTACTTTTAACGGATAAGAATCAAAATCAATTCAAGCATATTGTGACGCATTAAATAAAAAAATACATTAACCTCAGCATTTTTGTTGAACTGAAACGTTACTGCTGTTTGAAAAGCCGGATTTTAATTTGCCTCGAGCTTTCAGTTTTTTTGTTAAATTAAAAAAAAAGAAAAAAACCAAAAAGATTATACATTGTTGGTAAATCATTTATAATTAAACTTGCTTTGACGGTAAATAATCAGATGTGTAATAATAAGTGTTAAATGTGATTTTATTTTTTATTTTTAAAACAAATTTTTGAAAATAATTTTGTTACAGATGAAATAATAAAAAATATTTCAACTTTTATTTAATTAACTTAATACCCTTTAAATATTGCGTTCAATAGTATATTACGTTTAATTATTACAACTGTGAATAGCGAGCAGCTATTTTTTGACTGTAATTGAACTATATTGGACTAAATTGAAATTGTTAATTCGTCAATATTACTTCCATGACAGTAGTTTTTTTAATATTTTAATACATGTTTTAATTATTTTACAAATATCACTGTATCAATTAAAACAATAAATTTAAAAAATACTTTTCTGGGACTGTCGAAAAAAAAAAAAATAAATAAACTTTTTAATTTGTTATTCAGCCTTTAAGAAATTAAATTTGTCTTTGAGTCATAAAAAATAAGATACTGAAAACCTTTTATGACTTTTATTATCGTTTTAATGATTAGGAGTAGCGGTATAATGCATTTTTGATCAAAACCTGTTTACTTTAATCCGATGTCCTGGGTTCTTTATATATTTTTTGATATCTAACAAAATAATAAAAATAAATAATATTTCTAAAACTAGATCAAGTCGATAAGTGAATCAAGTAATCCATGCTGATACTATTAGTACATGAGGACAAACAAAAAAGACTAACATCGACGTCCACCCCCGTTAGCAACATTTTATTGTTTATCAAAATTGTATTTTTATTACTCTGTGACCTATGCAAAAGTATAATCTCTGCGAAGAACTACCCTGAAGTTGATAAAATTATATATGAGCCCATGGGAAATAGAATCGTAAAATGACTAATATAATATTTTAAATTATACTACATAGTTGTTTGTTTTATGGGTTAATATTTACACGTAAAATGGACAGCATAAATACGTACTATACTTTAATATAACACTTAAACATATTATCATTTCATATGTAAATAGCGTGGCGTTGATATGAAGTCGTCTAATTCGTGACACATTATTCATAAAATATGAAAATATGGCAAAATTTTATTGAAATTTTTTAAAATATGGCACAGAGTAAAAAGTCTCGCAATGAACGTTCACAAGAAAAATTCCTCCATTGACTTTATCTTATAAAATATCACACTTTTTCCAATTTTTACACATTTTTCGTTTCAGTTTTTATTGACATCATAACAATATTACAGTTTAAGTTTATGTGTGACTATCCTCTGCTATCTAAAACTACATCTGTGTTTTGGGAAAAGCTTATGTATTATATATATATTATCCTCCTTCAGGGCGTAATACAATCTCAGTCACTTAGTTAAAAGTTCTAAGTCAGTATAAATTGCTCATTTTCATTCTATTAAACATAATGATACACAAATCAGAATAAATAGTGTGACACTTATATTGTGTTATTAATATACAAAATAACAATCTGAAGAATTTGGATTACTTAATTTTTTACACCAATAAAATCAAATATCACATAGTTAATAGAATATTATTTTGATCAATACATTAAAATAATTATACTTCCTATAACTTTCGAGACAGTAACTGTATATTTGTGAATCGCGAGTATGTTTAAGAACGTTTTTAAAATAATCATAAAATCTTTTAATGGATTATGCGTGCTCTACTGCAATCGTGTCATACGTGGAGTTTGTAGGATAAACACTAATACATAACCTTTCTGAATTAATCACAGTTAAGCTTGTAGTGATGTTTATAAGGGTTGATCTTTGGTATCGTTCAGTGGGCGACGCGATTTCATTCGAGAATTTTGATGCCAAGTATTCAACTTTGCTGTACGTAAGAATCGTAGATAAGTTAATTGTCATTTTGTAAATTTAAAGGAAACACTACATTTGTGTACGATAGTGTCCTTTTATATAGCCAAGTAGTGTTGCGAGCAACCGAGATAATGTTATTACTCTAATTGTTGAAAATTTATCGTAGACATTAAAAACATTGTGGCAATCGCGATTCTCTATAGTAACTGCTAGTTATCTTATGCTTAATAGGTTTAAGCAATCACGTCCTTCACATACCGTGCGAATTTTTCAGCTACCATAAAAGTACCTTATATGATAGTTTGCTTGTTTATTTTTATGAAACGTTATGTTTTTGTAAATAGACATTGGAAATCTTGGTTGATGGTAAAAAATATTTATTTATTTGTTTGTATCACGAAATAACTACGTTGAAATCGTTATCTGCGATATTTTTAGCAGCAACACATTAGAATTACGTAAAAACAATCATTCCCGCTCTATTCACGCCTTGTAAACAACAAACGTACACCGAGAAAATAAATTCTATATACGACTCCCCGTATTTGGTCGGATAAACACGATGTGACACACATTCCCCTTTTCCTGGGGGTTGTTGTATTGGATGCATCAAGCTTCCGCGACACCGGTTCATTTTACTTGGCGACACGGGGAGGCAGTCCAAAGGTTTCCCGGTAGTTGGACAAATTCTCAGCGGCACTTTATTTCAGTTACTTTAATGATTTTCCCGAGAAATTTTCATCGCCTATAAACGTTTTACGCAGTCTGTTTCAATGCTTGATAGAGCCTTTTAATAGCAGGTATGTAAAGACTATGTATTAGTTCAAGTTGACCATGTACATTAAGAGCGATATTAAAAGCCAGTTCGTATGTACCGAATTTTACGGAAAGAGATTATTTCCGCAGAGGAAGAATCGAGGTTTAAGCCTGGAGTGGGTAAAATACAACATTTATGCCCAATTCACCGATAAAGCCTAATAGTAAACCTTGTAAGTAAAATCCACTTAAAAATATAAATAAATATTTAACTCTAGTGTATTGGATTGTATAAGAGATTCGAATTCAGTATAGTATGTAATTGAACACAATATTAGTACGAATAATTGTAATAACCGTTGAACAATAACACTCGAATATATTTTCCTGGTACCGTTAACAAACAATGCGGGACAACGTTAAATGCATTTTATCATTATTATTAATTATAAAAAGATATATACACTTCATATTATCTCAATAACTATAGAGTAAATACACATCAATAAAAAATTGATGTACTTATTATTGTTATACCATGGTAAAAAATTAAAGCGGACCATTGAAGCTTTTTAAAACTAATAAGGAATTGTTGAGATATTCAATTTTAAAAGTTTGCTTTATTAATGTGTTTTGCGTTAAGCTGATATTTTTTTAATAAAAAATTAAAAAAGAGTACTTTAAGTCGGTCTCCAATAGGTTTTCGACGAAATAATTAATTATTAATTCTCGGCTTTTGAATGAATTTTTTATGCTTACTTAACGTATACTTAAACGTATTATTTGACCATATTCTGTTTGATGTTTCTCTGTAGTCTGAGAGATTGAATATTTTTTTTGTCCGACCAATCAATTACTATAAGTAAACTTACAACACACTCCCAAGTATTAAACAGATGGTCAGGCCTTATCAACGAAATTAAATCAGACTAAAGTCGTTAAATAACGACATGATTTTCCTTGCTGAATATTTATTTGGTATGTCATTTGACAGTTAAATGCAAACACACCATTGTAATTACGATAGCAACAGCTTGAGATCATCGGTACCAGTGTGGGATTTCACTGCTGTTAAGATTCTGAACCGATAATACGAAAATTCAATAATTGTGATTGCATGGCCGGGAGTCATACCGTTAGGTCGAAGTGTTGGATAATAATGATAATAAAACATACAAAAACCCAAGACGGTAATTCCAAAAATTAAAAGGCTTTTATTAATATAACTTTGATATATTATTGTTGGTAAATTTAACAATATTATAACAACTCAGATGTTATAGTTCTCAAATATTTTTATTTGACATTTGGTAAAAAATACAAACCTTATGATGCGGTATAGCTATAAATGGATCGGGTCCAGCTGTGAGGGCAGCTTTAAATATACATGTTGTCGGTATAAATGGTAAAAAATCGTAAGTGTCGATCACAGTAGTGGCTTTATCGTCGTCTAGTTGAGTCTTAACTTTGCTATTGGTATTATGTGCGTGCCTATTTTCTACGCTCGTTTCGGGGACACTGGAAACTCGATATCTGGTACGCCGTCGATCCGAAGTCATTCGATCTAAACGCCGGACAAGTCTGCCCAACAACCCCCTCGCAACAAATCGACCTGGTTCCGGCGGATCGCTTTCCGCCCAAAAATGGTCGGGCATTTCCCATTGACTGATCGTGTTCCGCTCCATTAAAGTCGCCTACCAGCAACCAGGACCCGAACATGTGTGTCGACAAGGACAACTGCGTAGGTAATTTCGTTAGTCTTAATAATTTATACGAATATGGAACATTTAGAACAAAAAACTATCAATTTATTAGTTTATGCCCAGAAATTCTTGTTAGGATGGGAGTGTAGTAAATTTAACTTTCTATTTATACTAAAAAAAGTTCTCGGAATTAACTTTGAATGGATAGATAATATCTTTGAAATATTTTTGTTAAAATAAATTGTTATAAGAGAGGCTTATAAAAAAAAATAAATAAAAATAAAATATTCATCAANGGCTTATAAAAAAATAAATAAAAATAAAATATTCATCAAAACATTATTTTTTATGCATTCATTTTACAGCATTGATGTATAAAAATATTTTTACTTTTTAAACATTAAATTCACTGAAAATTACTAATTTTTTTTTTCTAGTTATATTTTTTTGTTCTTTATTACATACATCTATCAGACCATTGTAAATATGAGTTACGTTGTTTTTAATATCACTATTACTTTTTTTTATGGGACTACAAAATGTGGAACGCATTATTCAATACATTTGTTAAGGAAAATTGATGTAACGAGCTATTACCTACGACGATGGTGTGTTAATAACATCAAGGGGAAAAAAGAATGATTAAATAACCCGAAAATAAATTGGAGGACCATGACGACCTCATTTTTTGATTTAAAAGGGTTGTACAATTTCATTACAATAGAATTCGCCATCATTTTATTTTCTTCTGTTTTGCTATGTATTATAAGACAAATCGAATTAAAATTCTTAATGTGTCTACATCATGAAAAATTATTGAAAGGTTTTTAAATCGCTTTTGTTTAATTACTCTTAAACTCACGATGACAGTATATATTTATTTTATTAATATCAGGAAGAATAAGAAAAATGATAAACACGTATGTCATCGATATCCAATCAGTTGAACTGTTAAGAGATAAACTTTATAGGTTCCTCCATTAAAACAATTGAAAGTTTCTTGCTCTAATTCAAATAAAAATTATTTAGTTTATTATTAAAAAATCTCATGAACTAACTGACAAAAAAAAATGTTTAACAATTGATCGTTTAAACGTCATCATCGAATTGTAAACGTCAACTGTGCAACATATATATTTTTTTAATTTATCAATAATTACTTATTTTTGAACAAATTTGTGTTATTTAACAATCTAATACTTCCTTTGGAAAAAAACCGTCATAGGGTTGTCGAGTTTGAAAATATTAGGGACAAAAAACTTCACGGTGTCAGCTGAAAATGATAATATATTTACAAAACTTTTGGTTGGGAAATTGAACGTGACAAAAACACGTCAAGAGTTAAAAAAAAGTTAAATAGAAATACGAATTATCAAACACCGACTGATTGTATAGCTTTTATAATAGTTTTCGGGTCTTTGAGAAGACCCTGTTCACTTTTTTTTTTTTTACATGTGCATTGAAACGATGAAAAAAAGATCCATAAATCATTACACAGCTAGTTTTTATCTCTGGTGTCCGTGTGCACAATGTATAATACAATAAACAGGAAACCAGGGGGCCTGCTTGCTGTGCGAAAACCTACTTGGAGTTCACTACTTTGTTTGATGACAACTAAAAGACATTCTTATGATAAAGAAAAGTTATCTACATTTTGCCTTTGCAAGAACGCACCGAAGCGAGAAAATATTCTTGAAATATTTAATTTGTTCAACCACTAAAAGCGTAGTAATAGTTTAGACCGTATATTTTTAATAATTTTAAAGTCTAATGCAGTCGCTATCACAATTAAAATTGTAAAAACAAATATTTAGTCAAGTAAGATTTTCTATGATTAACAGAAATTTTATCAGAAACATAATTTATTATAAAAGATCACTTTTTCAAGTTTCACATCACTTAATAAATGGTCTAAATCAAGTATCTTCAGTATTTTAATATTTAGTTTACAGACAACTTGTAGATAATGGCAAAGGCTTAAATTTTATTTGGCAGTAAATTTAATTTACTTCATAGCTACAAATTTCCTGGCCAATGAATATTTGTATTACAAAGTTATTTTCAAGCACGTAAAATAAATAGTTCAACAAAATCTAATTTTTCATTCACATATGTATGACTTCTAAAACAATATCAGAAACGAATTGAAAAAGTGGATAAATTTAATTCAAGTGAAATTGCTTTTTGAAACAGTAGTTTTCGTAATATAGTGTTAAAAACATTTTTTGACGAGAAAACAATTTTATTGCACAGCAAAATGTTTTAAGCAATTATTGCTCTTAACAAAAACGTTTCTACCGATAAAAAAAAATAATAATTCTTTAGAAATTTTAAATGTATTATACATATTATAAATTTTCAAAATGGGTATTTTGCAGTCTTGTTTTTATAGAAAATGTTGATGTACCGGTAACAAATTCGGGAACTCACTGAGTTATCAGTATTTTAATACGTAGAATGGATATGTAGTACGGTTGGTTGCAGTCCGTACTGATACACAGCTCGTGTCCCACATCAACTCCGTGTATTAAAATTCTTGTAACTTGATAAGTATTTGTTTTAAAATTATTATTAACCCATCAAAATTTGTTGTCAAAAAGGGGTTATAAAGAAAAAATTATTCGCAACAAAATGATAATTGGATTAAAATTTATAAGAGTTGTCAGTTAATATGGGACATCATTTAAAATTTAAAAGGTGTTTTTGCATCCAACCATTTGATTGGTAGTCAACTTCGTTAATTTTATAATGTAGTATTGTACTAGAAAAATAACACAATGTTGACAATGAGTATAAAATATTTTTAAGTATATAGCACGTAACTCACATCACAATGGATACACGTCGGTGAAAATAATTAAAAGGGACAATAAATACCGAAAATCAATCCTTCAATAATTCCATAACAGCTTCATGTTACAGAATGAATGACGTTAAAAAATATAGTGACAATGGCGATCGATTAAATAAAGTCACCCCATATCGATAGGGATTTAATTCGCGCGCACTTTTGTTACATAAAATGCTAGTCGCTGCATGATAAAAGCTAGTCACGTCCGGCACTTTTCGGGTCGATGGCGCTCTTTTCGACAGAGTATTAGGCACAGGATAAAAGTGATAGATAGAAAAAAATATCGAGGTAACGTGCGGTCACACGTGCAGTTTTCGGACGACTGCCGTTGATCCACAAGCTCCATATAAAATTCCACTTTGGTACCCATACGGTGTATGATACAGCCAACCGTATTACTATAATTACTGGAATACGTCACCGTTTATACGCATACATATGGGTTTATGGATGTGTGTGCGCACCTGTTAATGAGAGCATTTTTTCGTTGTTTTACGGGAGGTTATATTATTATACATCGACAGTATGACGAGCAGTTGTCAAGGTACGCTGAGCATGAACGATAAAAAAAAAACATGCATGCGTGCCTTTTAACCGTATAAATTTAGTAAATTGTACAAATCGACAACCAGTTCATTTGACTTAATATACAACACAGTTTTCACGAGAACAATTTATACCGCAAGTGTCTCGGTCAACAGATTTCATACTGAAAATCACCCGCACCCTGGAGAAACTTAAGAACAAATAAACATATCAGTAAGCGAGCCGTTTGTTTCAAACTTATCATCTCTTCTAGACAAAAGCATGATTTAGGTCAAGTTTGAAATAGTTTGAACTTTTTTAGGACCTATATAATATATAGGTCCTGCAAACTATTATATAGTATGCAGGCTTTAACCATTTAAGGACTTCTAAACTAACCTAAAATATTTACTTTTTCAGCGCATTAAAATTTTAATACTTTCTCGGTAAAAATCAAATTAATAAGTGGTTAATACACTTATTGCGCTTAATTAAAATTAAGAGCTTCATCAAAATTATATATATGATATATCACGTGGCTGACTGTTATTGAGCAACAAGGGTTAATTTGTTCAAATTTATTTTGATCCTCATATGAGCTAAACACAATCGCTGCACAAATCCTGTAATAAAGCATATCAATTTATATGTCTGGTCATTAATTAAATCCAAATTATCACTATAAATTCGCACTTTCAACTGTCGTACAAAGTAAACTATAATTATATTTTATTCACTGACAACATGAGTTATAAATAGTTGTTTGCAAAACACTAAGGTCAATAGAACAGTGAAAGGGTTGTTATACCATTTTGTCCTTTATACTATGACAAACAGCACATTTATTGTTTTACTATGCATATGAGAACACGGCACAATAGATCTCGTTCACGTAACAATAAATAGTTCCGAATGTTTGTGTCAATTATTGTCAATAGTTTACTAATTTCTAAGTACAATGTAATACCCTCGTCAAGAGACGAGCAAATATTCAAGTACTGTACACTATACATAAAATTTACTTGAAATGTAAGTTACATTGTCGATTATGGAGTGTTCTGAATTTACTTGGATATGTAAAAATACTTATATATATATACAGGGTGGCCCACCACTCACTGACAACTTAAATAACTTTTGATCCAGTTTATATTTTTAGTTGATTTTTTTTTAAATAATAGTTATACGTTAGGTCTATAGCTATATCTCAATAATTAATTTTTTTGTATTTTATTAAAAATATTAATTATTTTTAAATTTTAAATAAAATGCAAAAAAAAAATCTAAGATAGCTATTTTGTAGAGTAGAATTTAAGAAAAATTTTAGTAAAAAAATATCTTATTAATATTCAGTAGTAAATATTCTGTAGCGTTTTGAAGTTTGT